ACATACATACATACATATGTACATAATGTACATAACTATATATAAGTATATACACATAAACACAGGTCGTTCAGGGCCAAAGTATACTAGGGCACATGGAATCGTATAATATACGAAGTTGCCACTGGACCCTGGGGACCCTTGTGCTCAAACGGTCGCACGCACGCATGCATCGGCTTGGGCTCAGGGGTTAAGGGTTTCGGGGTTCAGGGTTTTAGGGTTTAGGGTTTTAGGGTTTAGGGTTTTTGATATCTAGGGCTCAGGGTTAGTAGAGAAAACTACAGGTGTTGGGTCGATTTTTCGGACAAGAAAACTTGTCTGAAGGACTCGCAGCATCCAAGTTCTAAGTGTCCGCCAGTGCTTTCTGTGCAGCTTTGAGCTGTGGCATGCTACTGTTACCTATAATGGCCCTAAAGTAGTTCCTTTTGGGGGTTCATATCTAGAATCCTATAGGGGAACCCCCAAAAGGAACTTCTATGGGGCCTATGGGCACAGCCTCCTACGACACGAAGTGTAACATGCCTCGGTCCAGGCAAAACGAAAAGCATAGACGCCGTAAACCCAACATCCGCAACATCAAACCCGCAACCCTAGGGTTTAGGGTTTATAGGGTAAACCCTTTGAGTGTCGCTGCCACTCTGCGGAATTCAGTAGGCTCCGTCCGACCCGAAGTATGCATGCCACAGCGAAAGAAGCCGAATGGCCGCTGGCCGCAAGCAGATCCCAAGGATGAAGAGACCTGGAACTGAAACCCAAACCTGCCACCCCAAACTCCGAACACAAAACCCACAAGCCTAAACCCTAAACTCGATACTCTAAACCCTAAATGTAAAACCTTCACACTCTAAACCTAAACCCGAAAATCTTTGAGGTCAGTACATGAGGTTCCTCTCTAAGTCCTGGAGGTCCTCCGGCTTGATGATGGGAACCTGTCACATGGGTAGTTGTCAAAATTGTGGTCCCTTTTGGGGGTACAGTAAATAACAGGTGCCGTATTATAATAAGGACACCCAAAAGGGACCATAATTTTGACAACTACCCACATCTTTTGTTTGACTTCCGCGAGTGCTGGGTCGGTGGAAGCCAGGTCACGACTACTGCATTGAGAGATTACCTGGACCCTAAAAATATGTATAATAATAGCCTTTTATAGGTTTGGGGTCCTTATTTTACCTACTTTTGGGGGGGTTAGGTAGGGTTTAGCCCTAGGCTTCAGGCTTTCAGGCTCCTTTTCCGAGGACTGGGGCGCAAGGGCTCGTTTGCCTTTAGGGCTTCTACTGTTCAGAATTCGGGGTTTAGCATCAGGGTTTTAGGGTTTAGGGTTTTAGGGTTTTAGGGTTAGGGTTTAGGGTTTAGTGTTTTAGGGTTTAAGGCTTTAGGGTTTTAGGGTTTAGGGTTTAGGGTTCAGGGTTCAGGGTTTCTGCTTCTCCCCAGAATCCCCCTTACTTTGAGGCTTCTTGGCTGCATGTGGGTTTGCAAGGGTTTAACCGGGCATTCACACTTGTAAGCACCTGCTACGCCCTCTCGCCTTGTTTGAGCTCTGTCGAAAATCCTTGACCAAAAAGACTCACAAGAAATAACAGCTCAAACCCAACACTCTAGACCTCGAGCCCCAAAACCCTGAACTCTAAATCCTAAACATCACACCCTACAACCCACATCCCGAAAACCTAAACCCCAAACCCTGAACCCACCCCTTTCTGCCTTGCTGCCGGTAGCAGTGAAGGTAACATCGCTCTGGCGCATCACCTCGAACATCTTCTCCTCAGAGGTGGGACTTCGGGGCACCATAAACCCACCTATAGTCTCCATGTTAGTTCCTTTCCCTAAGGGTGCATGTACCCAAATAGTAGATACTTTGGCCCCAAAGTACCCGAATAGGGGCTACTTTCAGGCCAAAGTATCTACTATTGGGGTACATGGACCCTTAGGGTTTTTTGGCTAAACCAATTCTACAGTTAGGATCCTAAAACGTATCCCGCCAAAAGAACTACAATGGAGACTACAGGCACAACGGGGTCCAGGATTAGGGGCTCAGGGTTTGGAGTGCAGTTTAGGGTTAGGGTATCGGATTTGGAACACAGGGTTGAGGGCTGCGGGGTTTAGGCTTAGGGTTTGGGGATCTAAGGAGTTCCTGACACTCACTTAGTCACTTCGCAGCCACAGCAATGCATTGACCCTTGAGGTATCTTGGGGCACAGCTCTAGAGTCTCTAGAGTTTACTGTAGACTTTGCGGCTCAGGGTGTAGAAGCAACAAGCAAGAGAACGTCCGGTCTCCTTAAGATATCCTACAGCACGAGTTCCACGGAAACAGCTGCTCTGAAACGGATATGTTCCAAATCATCCGGGTGCTTGCTGGACATGTCTCCTATTCTTCAGCTCATCAAGCCAACCTTCCTCAACCTTCCGGAAGATGCCCAAAGGACTCTGCGACGACCCCAAACCCTAAACCCGCAAAAGCCCAAGCCGAGGTTGGGGCCAACGGGACGACTTCCGCATTCGACCCGCCCCGGTTCCTGACCTGGAGCTGCCTATAGGCCCCATAGTCGTTCCTTTTTGGGATTCCCTAATAGGATTCTAAACATGAACCCCAAAAAGGAACTACTTTAGGGCCTATGGGTGTAGGTACAAACAGGCAACAATCTTGCCTCCCGAAGATGATAGAGGGGCCGCATTTATTTCAGTAGGCTGCGGGTGGTACATTATGCAATAGGTGCTTTTTGCAACTGAAATGGTCTGCTAATTCGTACGATTCGGCGGTACCTCGTGCTGTTTGTCCCTAAACCCTAAACCCTAAACCCTAAATCTACTCTATTACGAGCTCTTCCGAGCCATACAGTAGCCGACTCCAGCCGGGTGAACTAGCTGACCGGCCCAAGCTTCAGCTTAGGGTTTAGGGTTTAGGGTTTAGGGTTTAGGGCTGAGAATATGATCGGTCGAGGGTTTGGGGTTTAGGGCCGCGGGTCACATGCCGAGACGCAACCAGCCAAGACGCCCCAACTGCAACACATGCAGTTGAAGGCTAGTTGCCCGAGAACCTAACGCAACCCTCCCTAAACCCTAAGCTTCCCCCAAAAGCCCTCAACCCAACAAAAATTGCCAAAGCTACTTACAGACTCCTTGCACCGATGGCCCGAAGCCTAAGCCCAAAACTAGAACTTTCCAACACGACCTGGCATGCCTCAACAACCTTCGCTTAAATTCCTAGGTCTACTCTAAACAATAATGACTGTAACCCCAATTGAAACGGTTTCGGGTTTGGGGTCCCGAAGCCTGGAAACCCTGAGCCCTAAAGCCTAGATCTTAAATCCTCGCCTTGCAAAAAGAGCCCTCAATACCCAAACCTCATCGACATCCCAAACACTATAAGCCCTAAGCATACGCCCTAAGCCCTAAACCCTGTAAGCCCTAAGCCCTAAACCCTAAATCCTATAAACCCTATAAGCCCTAAACCCCAAACCCTATAAGCCCTAAACCCCAAACCCTATAAGCCCTAAACCACTTAAGCTCCTCAAACCCGAACCCTCCTCGAAACCCAAGCCCTAAGGCCCACGCCAACTCGTCGTCGAGCACTTCCTGTGCCTTCTCTATGGAGCGGTTCACGAGGCTGACCTGCTTTTCCCAGTAGTGTAGGGGTATATGGTTAAGTTTAGGGTGTAGGGTGTCGGGTTTAGAGTATGGGGATTCGTGTTAATCTTACCTGCTTTTTCGAGAAAATATGGGGGCAGGAGGCTTCCATGCAGTTGCATAGGGGCCTGAGTAGCAAGAACAGCGTCTCGGGGTATGGTCTAAACAGCAACTACGGGGACCCTAAACCCTAAACCCTAAACCCTAAACCCTAAACCCTAAACCCTAAACCTATAAGGGGACATCCAAGTGTTCAGATCCCTCTGGTAAGGTTTAAAGATTAAGGCTTAGGGGCATTGGGACTTTAGTGCGTTAGGTATTAGGCATGAGCGCTGCGTGGGCATTCTAGAAATCATGAGACTATTCCACTGATCCGGTTTAGGGTTTAGGATTTAGGGTTTAGGGTTTCGGGTGTAGGGTTTAGGGTTTAGGGATTCCGAAACAGCCAGATACACGAACAGAAATAGTCATTCCTCATCTGCAAAGCACTCTGTGTACTTTGTGGTTACTAGGACCCTATGTGGGTAGTTCTCCAAGTTAGGCTTCCTTTTTTAGGCCCCCAAAACAGTAGAGCATCCGTATACAAAGGACCCTACAAGGGACCGTAATTTAGAGAACTACCTACGTGTTTGCGAGTCTTTCTTGGGTGTACCGGGCTCGGGGTTTCGGGATTTACAATTCAGGGCTTGGGCCTTGGGTCTAGGCTTGTTGGGTTCATAAGGGTTTTGGGTTTAGGATTTAGGGTTGGGTGTGGAAGGACCTAAACTCCCAGCGCGCGGTAGGACTGCTTGTCATCGGCTGAAAGCTGTGCACGACACTGTGGGCAGCTTGAGACGAGACGGCTCCTGCCTTGACACCACATTCATGGCACAGCAGGGCCAATCCTCCGCTGACAAATTGCCTTTCCCTCCCAGTTCAAAACGTAAAGCTGGTAAGTTCGAAACATCGACTCTTGAGGGAAGCCCGACGCCCTCCCCTTTGAACCCTGAATTGTCAAAGCATCCGCGTCTGCTGGCCTTGATGTCCGGGTACTTGCTGAAGAGCGCCAGCAGCAGCAACCTGGCATAAAGTTAGAGGGGCCTGAACAAAAGAGGGGTTTGGTGTATACTGTGGCGAAAATGAGAAGCCCAGCGAATCAGCATACCGTATCAAACGAACACATGTGCATGTGTTTCTGTATATATACACATATACACGTACATCTACATATACATATATATATATACACACTCAATCGATAAGCTTAAAAACTATTCAGACCAAGCTATTCGGACCACGCCACCGAAGGCAGAAGTGCCCAGTAGTGTTCCCCCGATACCACCCGGCGAAACTTTAAGCGCACAGTTCAGGGTTTGGGGTTCAGGGCTTAGAATTTGGGGTTTGGGGCTCATCGGGTCCTAATCTTGAACAGGGTTTAGGGTTTAGGGTTTAGGGTTTAGGGTTTAGGGTTCCCAAATCCTGCAACTATAGCGTCCGAATGTAAAACATGCGTCCAATCTTCGGAAGCACACCTGGACATCTTGCCGGCGCCGATGATGCACACCTCATGCAGCTCTAAGGCAAAGAGGGCATCGGGTTCAGGGGTTTGTGGTTAGGGCTTTGTGGTTGTAGGGCTTGGCATTCGGGTGGACGGTGTGGTTCTCTGTCTGTTTCGACAAGGCCAAGAGCTGCGGTTGCAAGTCACTTCGCTGGAGTACGAAATTATGCAGGCTGTGTCTGTCCCCTCTGGAAGAGTCTTTGTTGGGGTGCAAACAGCTTCGAAATCTACCGTGAATCGCTAAAGCCTCTGAACCCTAAACCTTACCATTCAAACTCTCTCATCCCTGAAACCTCATAGCCCCGAACCCGCAACCCCATAAACCTCTCCTTGTACCGAGACTGCAAGTGTCTGACAGAAAGCCTGGCTGTCTCCAATACGATGTGATCCAGGCTAGGGCCTATAGCGTCTTATCGGCCAAGATTACCCAGAGGGTTTAGGGTTTAGGGTTTACGAATTAGGGTTTCCGCGTACCCAACTGGTAACAAGTAGGATTTTGCGTCCCAAAATCCATGCCGTGCCGTGAGTGGTTTTTGATGTGTTTAACCCTAATTTCGAATCCGGGGACAAAGTTTCCGGACACCAATCTTGACGACCGTATAGCTGTATAGCAGTCATGGAGCACAGGATAGTTTGGGCGGTCAGGCTAGATAGCCACACCTAAACATACTCTTAGAGCCCTGACGGTTCCCTAAGAGTAATTACATATGGTTTTGGCCTATAGCAGAGGTAACCCTCAACCCTAAACCGCAAAACCGAAGCTACAAGCCGTTGGTGTGTCAAGGTTACCTTGGGTTTAGGGTTTAGGGTTTAGGGTTTCAGGTCGGCAAAAAAAAAAGTCTCCAAAGGTCCTGGCATGCAGCTTGCTCGCGGGCTTCCGCAGGTCCTGCATCGCCCTGGAGATTCACAGCGTCTAGGGTTGTTAGGGGTTGGGTAGGGTAGGGTAGGGTAGGGTAGGGTAGGGTGGGGTGGGGTAGGGTAGGGTAGGTAGGTAGGTAGGTAGGTAGGTAGGTAGGTAGGTAGGTAGGTAGGTAGGTAGGAGGGTTGTTAGGGGTTTCGGCCGTTTAGGATTTATAGGGTCTAGTGTCTAGTGTTTCGGGTGCAGGGTATGATCGAAGATGATATGACAGACAACCAGCAGGACTTCACGGAGGTTTCTCAATAAGTTAGCATGTTCTGAGGTCGTGTAACGGCTTAGGACATAATGTCGAGCCCCTCACGGGCTTTAGGGAGTTTTACATCTTGGGGCTTTTATCATGTCAGGGCCCTTGCTGAAATTCGAAGGGCATGCATCAAGGGTCTAGTTTAGGGCTTAGGGTTTATAAGGGATAAGGGTTTATGGTTTACGGTCTAGAGTATACCTTACAGATGCATTATCCACAGCCCCAAACCAATTCAGGCCAATACTACCACTAACTCCGAAAAATAACTCTCTGTTATTACAGTGGGTCATTCATCATGGGCTTCATTTCTAACACTTTCCCAAATCCTGAGACCTCTTAACCCCAAGCAGTCTCGAACTCCGAAACGCCTTTGAAGGAACCCTGATGATTGATGGGACCCTTGTACCGCAAAGAAATTCTACCGAATGCCTCCAGTTTCCACATTGAGCTACATGAGATCCAGCAATGGCACCCTAAGGGTCCAAAGGACGCAGTTGGTCCTTGGGTTTAGGATACTTACTAGCCGTGATGGTGGAAGACAGCGGAGTCTCCAACATCGCGCTAGAAAGCAACGAAACATTCTCAAAGGTATTAGGACCGAAAATAGCATAGTCCATATGCTGTGGCCTTCAGGGCATAACGTCTTGTAGGGATGATGTCGTGGTTTCGAGATCTCGGTCAGCACTTCTATACTTGCACTGAAAAGGCCTGTGTAGACCTGGAGCCCCATTCAGGGGCAGAACTCATTCCAAAACCTGTAACCACGGTTTAGGGTTTAGCCTGCAACCATCAAGTTTGGCTCACAGAAACACCTCTTGCGCTGTAAGGTAGTGGCCCAGATCGCCTCTGCAAAAACATAAACATACATACGCAATGCATGAGACATGAGCAGTGCTGTCTCAAGCATACAGGACTGCTGGCAATGTTCTTTAACTTCCCGTCGCTGCTTTTTCGATGTCAGGGAAAGCTCTGTGGGTAGTCTCCGCAGGAAGTCATCATACAGTTGAACACGCAAGCATGCTGCAAGCCCAGAGGTATCATTGGACATACGGAGGCCGCTGCTGGAAGGTAATCTGGCCGTCCGATCGCGCACATAACCCGCAAAAAGTAGGCCCTAAACCCTTGCTTTAACCCTTAACCCTCAATCATCCTAAATCTTTAACCCTTAACCCTAAATCACGACGGCCTGGACATCATGAGTTCCACCGCTGCACTCGACACGGACACCGAGCCTCCGATAAAACAGAGCCCGAAGGTGCTCAGGGCTCAGTGTTTAAGGCTTTCGGGCCCAAAGGGTTTGGGGTTTAGGGGTTTAGGGGTTTAGGGGTTTAGGGGTTTAGGGCTTAGGGGTTCAGGGTTTAGGGCGCAAAGGGTTTAGGGTTTAGGGGTTTAGGGTTTAGGGGTTTAGGGCCCAAAGGGTTTAGGGTTCAGGCTTTGGGGGGAAAAGGTAGTGCCAAATTGCCGGCTTTTGCAGCTGATTTCGAGCCTTTCGGAAAGGTAGACGGGACCGAGATGATCTCTGGTTTGATGAATGGGTTGCTGGAATATGGTCTGTCAGGTGACGGATACGAAGGAATAAAGCCTCAGAAGCTGAAGTTTCTTGCAACAGACCGAGCGACCTGCTCCGCCTACCAGGAACCACCGTCAAGTGCAGTCCAATCAACTCGCGCAAACTTCCACTGCTGCAGTTCTTGACGTTACTGAGGAGGGCAACAGGGTGTTCAGCATGCAAGGATGACGGGTGCCACTGCTCTGCTCGGTAAGGGCAACGGTCGACCATGACGCGAACATCATGCTCATGCATGCGAGGGGCCTTATTGTAGGGTCTAGAATACGAAACTCCCATGTTGCTGACTTTGGAGACACAAAACTTGAGAATGTTGCGAATAGCAGTGTTGGTGGCCTTGTTCGTGTCATCATTAGGTTTCGTCGCAAACTCCACGTCGAAATGGAATGCAACTTGGACAGGTCATCGCAATTATGTGAAATGTCGCGCGACGCAGTTTCAACCTTACTTCAAAATTTTTACTTATTACGATCGTGACTACTGTAGTAGTAGCAGTAGCAGTAGTAGTAGTAGTAGTAGTAGTAGTAGTAGGAGTAGGAGTAGGAGTAGGAGTAGGAGTAGGAGTAGCAGCAGTAGCACTAGCAGCAGTTGTAGCAGTAGTAGTAGTAGTAGTAGTAGCAGCAGCAGCAGCAGCAGGAGTAGCAGTAGCAGTAGTAGTAGCATTAGTAGTAGTAGTAGTAGTAGTAGCAGCAGCAGCACTGGTCTGCCGCGCAGGAAACTTGAAATTTGCGACTCATCCCGGACGGAGAACCAAGAATATTAGCATAAGTGCTCA